ATTCCCCTTGTTTTCAGCGCTGTTATGAAGGAGCCAGCTCAGGAGACGGGCATCTCGTTTATCTGTAGCTCCTCTGCAGCTGATCAAAGCATGGTGCTCTCATGCTGACCCTGGGCCGTGGTCTCGCTCCTGCCCAGCAGCAGCGGGCTCGGCTCCCCTGGGCCAGAACCTCCCTGCGTGCTCAAGCCGTGGCTCTGCTGCCGAGGCTACTAATACCTGTGCTAATTCGTGCTGCGGGCTCCTGGGGGACATGGGGCTGAGCGCCCCTCCAGTCATGCAGACATTGCCCACCCGTACGTTCTGGTCACTGAGCACGGCGCTGTCTTGGCCTGACGTCAGGTGGATGGCTGGGCAGGGGCAGCTCAGAGAGGCATGGGCTCTCGCAGGCGACAACCTGCATCCTGGCATCCGAATGTTGGCTGTTGCCTATGATAGCCACTACCTCTAAACTAGTTAGTCTCTAAGTGCCACCCACCCTGGCTTCTGCCTGGTTCCTATGATGACGTTAAGGTGCGGAGACTTGGACCCCATCAATAAACTGGCTGATCCATGTGGTCCCCCCGCCATTCAGCTGTGGTTAAGACCGCAGGCAAGCCTGCGGCCTCTGCAGGATGCCAGCGTCTGCGTCGGACCCATGTCTGCACTTGGTGTCATGAGCAGAGAACCAGGAGGACTTGGCCAATGGACTTGCCCCTCTCTGGCCTTCCCGTTAGCCTTGGGTGTTAATGAGGACTCGCGGCCTTTCAAGCAAACCTGTATGAATGCCACACTAAGGCTGCACAGTCACGCTTGCAGTCGGGAGCTGGAAAACCTCGCGTTCCCCCAGCAGCTATGAACAGAAACATGTGCCACCCCAGCACTAGGAACTGGCCTCGTGTGCCCACGCCCAGGGCAGTCTCCGGCCCCCGAGGCAAGACAGGCAGGACTGGCATTTACGGTCCCACCGCGCGCTTCCCTGTGTTGGAACTGAGGGAACTGGTGAATGTTTAACGCTGCTTTTATGACCGTCGCGGTTGGCTCAGAGATGTTGGACCTTTGCAGACATGGATGGAAATCAGTGATGTTTGCTTTCTGCCGCCACGGTCTCTGCAAACCCGAACAAAGACCAGGGCAGGGTGCTGGGCGCCCAGAGTGGGGCAAGCCCTGTGCTGTGTTTGGGCGGGGGGTAGTGCAAGCACGTGCTGGGTTTGGGGGGGGTCACTAGAGCTCCAGACCAGCACACGAGCAAGGCCTGATCCTGCCATGCTCAGGAGCGCCCAGCTCCATTCCTCCAGCAGGCAGCTTGGGCAAGGGTGAAACTGCAGGGCCCAATCCAGGCTGGTGCTGGCCAGCGACAAGGAAGCTTGTGGGCTGGATCGAGCATGAAGGCAGGACGAGGGTGTCCAGTCGTGGTCCTTGGGTCTCTGGATTTTGGTGGGTTGGGTGGGCCCAGCCCATGTGGTTGCTGCCCAGGGCCTGATCCAGCAGAGCAGGGCGGGTGTTCGTGTGATCTGTGTGCTGGCAGGCCCTCATGTTAGCTCCCTCCAGGCTGGGTTGTGTCCTGCAGTCCCTGCTGCCTGCACTTCTCAGCCCTGGGGCCGGGACAAACCCCGAGATTTCCAACAGGAATCTGGAGCGTCCCGAACCCCCTGCCCTGATGGGGCTTTCTGAGCCTTTGCCGCAGAAGAACCACTCTGTTATTTTCCTGCGGTCAAGCAACGAGCCAGTGCTACGAGCTGGCATCTCCAACGTGGCCCCGAGTCTGCCAGGGTTGAGAGCTGCTGGATTGGACGTGTCTGTAGCTAGACACAGTTGTGGTGGCTGCGACTTCGGCTCGTGTCCCCATTCTTGACTCTGCCCCGGGTTGGTCTAATCTCACCTCCCCACCCCAGCAAGCAAACAGCTGCTGGCCTCTCCCTCCTCTGACTCCCCTCGCAGCCCAGCACCCGGGAACGCAGGGAGGGTCCCTCAGGGCAGCCCTGGGGCCAGAGCCTATGTGCAGGGATCGCGGGCAGGGGCAGCTACAGCTCAGAGGAGTTTTCTGCTTCTGCACTGGTGATCGTGACCTGCTTGCATCCCTTGATCCCCCACCGCAGTCCCAGCCCTGGTGCCAGGTGCTGCCCTGCCGCCTCTGGGAGGTGGCCTCTGCTCCCACGACCAGCCCCAAGCGGCTCCGCTGTGTTCAGCGTGGGCACAGGAGAGGCACAAACAGCCCCTGCTGCAGCCCTCAGGAGCAAGGCCCGGCCTGTGCAGACCAAGTCTTGCGGCCCGGGCCCGGGCCTCCTGCCTAGACATGGCTGTGGCAGCAAGGACCCGCTGCGCGCTGTGGGTGGACGTGTCTGGACTCGGGTCTGATAGGGAAGCGGGAGGAAGTCGGCCACGGCTCTCCAGAGGCAGGGACCGGGCGGCCAGGTCCACCCACGGTCACACAGGTGCTGAGCCCTGCCCTGGGTGGCAGGACAGTGACTCTGCAGTCACTTCCTGGCAAGCTTAGCT